TGTGGGCTGTGGGCGTGGTTATTGACCGATTTGGTATGCCGTACCAAGACCAATAACTGTGCCAAGTTTGGATGAAATCGGTGCAGCGGTTGCCAAGATATACACATGTAAACATAAGTTACATTGTTGTAAATATCAATTTTGAGTGAATTATCTTCAGTAGTACTAAAATATCGCAGTTTTCATATTTCTGGAAATTACCGTTATATGGGAAGTGGGCGTGGTTATTGTCCGATTTTTTAAATTTTCGGCCGTTTAGTATGTTGTATCAAGGCCAACAACTGTGCCAAGTTTGGAAGAAATTGGTGCAGCGGTTACCAAGATATACACATGTAACCATAAGTGGGCGGGGCTACGCCCATTTTCCAAAAATTTTTAATATTCTTATTTTTCGTCTGAAAATTATTGTAAATATCAATTTTGAGTGAATTATCTTCAGTAGTTACTAAAATATCGCAGTTTTCGTATATGGGAAGTGCGCGTGGTTACAGTCCGATTTCGCCTATTTTCAATACCAACCTACCTTGGAGTAACGGAAACCTACATACCAAATTTCGTTGAGATATCTCAAATTTTTCAGACAGACATGGCTTAATCGATTTCTCTATTCATTCTGAGCATTTATGTATACTTTTCTCTATATCTATCTCGATTCGTTTTGACTGTTACAAACAACCGTTATGTGAACAAAATTAATATACCCTTGTGCACAAGTGCGCTCGGGTATAAAAAAATACGCATATGGAAGAGCACCAACCCAACTCGTAATACATTTAAGTATACAAATTTTAGTATTTAGTATAGAAATATTCAATTCAAATACGCCCAAATTAAAATGAAGCGATTTGCAATTACCGATTGCTTTTTCATAATTAAGTTAAAAAAATATTTAAATTCCTTGCTGGTTGTAATGGGAATTGAGCCCTGACCCTCTGGAAATTAGCAAATTGTGGCAAGCATCTTCGCGCACTCAGCTACAGCCAGACATGTGCATTTAAATGTTGACTTTGAATCAACACCACGCGTGCGTGTTATGAAAGTATTATTTTTAAATACGAACATTTTTAAACGATAATCAAATATAAAATATTCATGTTTACTATGCGTTATTTTCCTCAGTGAATTCATAAAATTTTTCTGAATATTACAACGCCTCTTTTCTCTTAGTGTAGTGATTTTGGAACTTTTATTCAAATTTGTGCAATCAAATCAAAAACCGGGACACTAAAACGAAATCCGGGACATTTTAAGGTTGGACCGGGACACCGGGACAAATAGTTGGTTGGACCGGGACACCGGGACATGTCCGGGAAAACCGGGACGTCTGGCAGCCCTACGTATGTATAAAACTTAAGCAAATGCTTTTCTTAAAATTTCAGACCTTTTATTCAATTTCATATTAAAATTCAATAAATTTAAGCGAAAGGTATGAAATTTTTTAAAAAGCAATTGCTTAGTTTTTATGTATACGGCCCAATATGTGATGAATTGAAAAACTACCTGTAATAAACATGTATATTAGGGTGGTCCTTAAATGTAGGAAGCAAATTTTTACATCAGATTTCCTAAGCCTCAACCCCTACGTCGATGCTACGATAGTCGAAGATATCACATATAAAATTTGGTCCCGATTTGAGACGGTTAAGGCGTGTCGCACAAGGGGAAGAGTTCAGATTCCTCTAAGGAGACTCAAAAAATTAAAATTAAATTTTTTCACATAATACCACAAATCGATAATACTTTAGACCAGACATGGGCACTTTTTTGCCCGCACAGCAGCGAAAATGCGGGCGCGGGCTAGAGAAAGGGAAAAACAGTTTACGGGAGGAAGGGTATGAAAAGTTGCGAAACAATTATCTATAATAATACGGTAATACTAACTTTGTGCACCAAACAAAGAGCGTACATTTTCCTCATATACACAATAAGCCATCGTTTGGACTTTGCTCCGATAGGAGTAGATTTGTTCCGTTTTGTCGAAATAATTTGAAGCCTAGTCCTCTACTCCGCTCAACTGAAAATCTCCTCCGTTTTGTTGCATCAACAAATTTACTCTTCAAATAGAAAGGAGGTGGGGTTTTTAATAGCAAACTAAAATTTATATTTTACCTTTTTATCGACACGATTGTTACATTAGTGAGCTACAGCACCTTTACAAATACACTTGAATTCGTGAATAGGCCCTCACAGTCGCCCGATTTGAACCCGATCGAAATGGATTGCTCTGTCTAAAGTTCAGTAATTGCGTCGTTGCTCACCGATGTAACAATTGTCCCGGTAAAGAAAGAATGAAATAACTTTTTGTTAATTTTAACCAAGGCATTTTAACTTTAATGATAATAGCTCGCTGGATTAAGGCGCCTTTACACGGGTCGATGTTCTAGTAGATTTTTGTCGTTCAACCAAAATCGACCCGTGTAAAATCGACTGTGTGAAAATATTGCGTTTGGATTATCTGGGAGCATATTATCCAGAGGAGAAGCTCGGCCAAACACTAACATATGTGTAAGTCAACGGATGAAGTTTTCTGTACGTTTGGATTGAATATATGAATGAACAAAATAAATACAATGTCACCATAGAATCACGTTTTTATTATAAAATTGACTTGAAAGGGCACGAAAGAACGAAAGAAGCGCTAAACTAAAAAAATTTCGCGTTTTAATTCCCTAAACGCAATTAATTTATTGCGAAAGGCACAAAGTGTGCAACAGTTATATCGATGTAAAATTTGCTCATATACAAGCATGGACAGAGAGTCAGCGCCTGCTTAAAGAGCGTAAGCATTACATGCGAGAGCGTAACAAAGTGAACGCAAAATCATTCAAATGTACCCAGTCGAAATCGGTTGTATGCATTCATGAAGAATGCTTGCTATATGAGTGAATTAGTGTGAACAATTCATACGTGTTGTTGTTTTAAGTACACTTCTTGATACATTTGAAGTGGAATTTTTGTAATATTTTCAGTCTTGTACAAAAATTTTAGTGAACGGACGTGTTGTGCAGCACTGACATTGGCTGCCAAAAATTGGATTTGCTCACACAAGCTCTTGGCTCAATCCTTATCCATTCGTCCTTACATATGCTAGCCAGAATTGCTATTGCTTTATAAAAAAGATAACCATTTTGAAATATGAGTGTTTCTACTCTCTATAAAATAATTTATGCAATCTCACATACGCGGCTTTGCATTATCTTGACACGCGGTTTTGCATTTTGTTGATACGCGGTTTTGTACTTTAAACGACGATATGTATCTTGTAAGAATGCTTTAATACTGTTCCATTAATGCATTATGTATGTTTAAAACATTAATACAGTCATAGTACAAGTACAGCAGTAGTACAAGTGCACGGTGCAGCGAACAAAGGTGGCGCCGTCAGTGGTACCGCTACTTTGGTTTTGCCGATTTTGACAGATGTGGTAACTTGTAAATAAGCCTCTGTTTACAAATTAGCGAAGGAGAAATTTGAATTATAAGTTAAAAATCAGTTTAAATTGTGTTAATTTGCAATTTGTGAGTGATTTTTGGGTTGAAGACTTCGTAAAACTAATACAATGAAGTGCTGTGTGTTAAATTGCGACAGCCGTCAAGATGCAAGAAGCGTAGATGCAAGTGTAGCGCTGGGACGATTCGCTGCATTTTGTGTTCTCTATTATTATATTAACAGCATTTCCTCAGAATGATTTTGCTTCTGCTCCAAGTAGCCTCCATTAGCAAGTTAACTAATCAATCCCGGTGAGATGCTGCCGCCCGGTGAGAGTGCAGCAGCCTTAATTGCAAAGCAATGGAGTGCACTAAAACGTTTGCTGAAGCAGCCTCAATTGCAAAGCAATGGAGTGCACTAAAACGTTACATATTCTCTAAAAGATTAGATGAAAAATGCAATATTTTCGCATTTAGCAAAATTAAAACACGTTCTTCGCTGTAAAGTGAACTGCTTTGGCAGTTTCAACTCGTTCTTCTTTTCGCTTATTCTTTGTTTACTTGTGGTACACAAATGTCAACCGCCAGGACGGCGCAATCTTGTATACTATCATTCTTGGTACAAGTGTATGGTTAGAGTACACATACGCTCTGAGAAACCACGCGTGTTAAATGGACACGAAGGTTCATTTATACTGGCATGTACACACAGCAGCAAGCTCATGCCACCAACAGCGATGTCGTATGCATAAAATTTCTACTGGGGAAATGACACACTAACACAATCACACTTTCAGCTCGCGTTTACTTGTGGTAGTGATCACATCTGCTCATATACACTCCTCGTCATTTGAATTGCACACCCTTTCAATCTTTAGTATTTACAGTTTTCCTTTTGTTTATTTAATATAAATTGTTTGCAAAAATATAGCATATCCTACGGGTAAATGCCATTTTAAATTTTTAAACTTAAGCTTAAACTTAAAAGAAAATTTCTTTTCCATTACTTGGGCAGCATGTTGTATGATTTTTTCGTTTTTCTTGAGAGCTGGAAACAGTTCTTAAAAAAGGTCAACATAGGAGTGTGCCATCCTAATGACCTGCAGTGAATAACTTAATAATATTTGTAGAAAAATTTCGGATATGCAGTTTTGTAGCCCATTCAATTATAGTGTAATAAAGTGCAAGTTTCATGAGACTCTAATCTAGCCCTGATTTTTGAAATTTTTTTATTTTTTATTGACGGTGCTGCGCATTTTATTCCTTGTAAAAATTTTGTCGAGCATACTTTTATGAGAGAAAAAATGCGCAGCACCATCACCAAAAAAATTTTCAAAAATCACCGCTATTTTACAGACACTTGCACTTTATTGCACCCCTTTGATCCATTTTTGGCAGCAAATGTCAGTTACGCGGTTGTGCAAAATGACGATACGCGGTTTTGTACAAAAAAAATTTATGACCTAGAGATGTTACAATTTTTCCTTATACTATTTAATAAAAAAATCTGCTCCGAAAATTTTACTCTGATAGTCCGAACGCTGCTTTCAACTGACGTTTGAGTTGTGTACTTATGTGCATGAATCACATTCATCATTTTTGATGTTTTTTGGTTTGGTTTACATCGTCTGCTACCTCTTCGTAGTGATTTTTTTTAGCGATTTTATGAGTTTTCTGCAGCGATTTTAATTATAAATTTTGATTTATTACAAACTTATGATATAATATGAAGTGCTTTGTGATTGGAACAAGTTTGTGCGTTGGTTTGATTTGCCAGGAGGCGTAAATTTGCATGAAAAGTGGGTGAATTTTTGGCCAGAACGTTGGTGTTGAAAAATCGATCGGTGCCGATAATATTTATGCGATTGTAAAACACTCTAAATCATGAAAACCATATTTTATGAACACTTTTCACTTATTATATTTTATAATAGGTGTATTCGCGTATTCTTCCAGCAGAAAAATTTCAGCAGCAAAATTCTCATGAATTTGTATCTGATATCTCTCGAAGCGAGAAATGTTAGAAAAAGTACGCGAACGCAAAACTAGCAAAAACTTGCAGGTTTTTAGTATAGCTGATCGAAATTTTGTTTATTGATGATGATGTGATAGTTATCAGAAACTATCAATACGCGAATAAACCTATAATCGCACTCAATTACCGCGCCTCTTTCATTTTCTTTGTTTGTTTTCATTCTTAGGCAGATGTCAAAAACGTTCAGATATTTACTTTTTTCATTCTTTTCCGATTGCGTGATCCCGTTAGTTGGTTTATGTGCATATCACTTTTGTCACTTCCTGAATGGTTGAAACTGTCATTCATAAATTGCAGCACATGGCGTTAGTACGAGGTATGTAGTAAAATAGTAATTTTTGTTGCATCTCATTAAAATTGTCTACTTTCTTTACAGCTTTTAGCCGAGTTGTTAACATGGGTGACAAAGGAGATGATCAGAATGGAGAAAACATATTGAGGCGCGGCGCTTATTACTGGCAGTCACGTTTGTGGCCCAATCTCGATCATTACCGCTCATTCGCAGCTTAAGGTATCCTACCCGGAATATATGCGTAATCCCCTTAAATGCGTTTATACGGGCACATTAAATCTATTTTGATACCATGATTATTGCCTCATTAAGACAATTGTACCGAGAGTGCGATCTAAGTTAGCACTGCGCACAATCTACCCTATGCCCACTCATTTAACAATTTAACACAACTAACTAAAATTTTTTGCTGCAAAAATCGATGTGGGGACTTATGATTCGATGAAATGCATCATAATCAATCAAAAAGTGAATTTTGGATTTTTAGTTAGTTACGGCTTTTTGTATTTCAGCGACGATGTGAGTTACGCCCTTTCCATACTATACTAACGATATATTGTATGCCAAGTCCCACTGCTCTATAGATACTAAATTCGCCTTGCATTGATTCTTAATTGATTTGTGAGCTTGGCTGCCAACTTTTACACTTTCCATTTTATTTTTAATCCGCTGCGTGCAAATTTTGACAATTATCACAAAATAAAATAAATGTTTTTGTTTTCGAGCGCACAGAGGTGCGTTTTTCTGCTAAGTAAAAAAGAAAACACGGAACCTAATCATAAACAATAAGCCATTTTATGAAAAAAAAAATGATTACACTTATTTAAGAAAAAGTAGAAACAAAACTAGCATTGCATCCAGTTTTTTCAACAGACCTTTGACAAATAATATTTGATAGTTACATAATTCTCACATAATTAAAGGTTATCTTTTACCGCGCAAATCAACGATTCTCTTTATAGCTAGACGTTGAAAAATCCGCCGGAAATACCTATTGAAAGAGCTTACCCTTTGACTATAAATTACAAAAGAAGGGGGACATAGTGGGAAAGTTTTAACGTAGCATCTCCACAGTCAAAAAAGTATCATTTTGTTTTCCAGATATACGTTTATCAGTGCACTTGAACAATATTCGCATTCGCAAAAGCTCCGCATTGATTATTGGGTAGTAGTGCACTTTAGAGGAACCAGGTCAAAATGGACGGAAAAGGTTCGAGACTGGTATCAATCGACGCGTCTTAACGCCAACAACAATCCGAGACCGGGAATTTACATTTTTAATTCATTAAAGAGTTATTTGCAAAAAAACACTTGCACTTTCCGCACAATGTTTTGATGAATTTCACGCAAATGAATGGAATAAATGAACTCAATTTAACACGTATTTATTAGTTTTTATACATTTGTGATGTTTTAAGTGTACACTTTGGCGAAATTCTGTATTTAATAGCAATATTCCGATGGTGAAAATCCGCACAACAATCTTGGGTAGTTAATATAAACAAGATGGAGGAAAACTGGTGCTGCCACTCCATTAATACAATTTGTATTTCAACTTTAAAAACACCCAAATAATGCACAAGAAATATACTTTTGTGAAAAGGGGATTTCTGTTCCTTTTCTTCGCACGCAGAAAGGAGAATTCTACGTAGTGAGGGTTATAATCCGTAGGCGCGGCCGAAGGCCGCCTACGCAGAAAGGTGTTCTCTGCCAAATGTGTTCAGCCCCTTTTATTTGGCAACACAGAAAGAAGAATTCTACGTAGCGAGGGTTATCATCCCTAAGCGCGGCCGAGCACAGTGGTCGAAAACACTTATTTAGCGGCGTTTAATTAATAGCGCTTAGGGATTTTTTTTTTTGTTTGTGTAATATTTTTTTTTAGTTGAAAACAGATTAATCTACAATGGTAAACAAAAAAAAATCTTTTAAAAATATATTTATATATAATTCTTTTTGTGAAAGTTGAACTTTTTTTTCATATTTTAGACATTATTTCTTTTATTCAGAAAAACATGATGAAGTTAATATATTTAATGTTTCTTATTCTTTTGGGCTAAAAATATAGTAAACTTTAATATTAAAATTTTTTTTATTTGAATTTTTTATTTTTTTATATTTTTTTTAAATTTTTTTTCTGTTGAAATAACTATTTTAGGCCTTATTCAGTCATCATATATTTCATAAAAAAAGGCTGATATTGTGAAGCTGCAAATTTTTTGTATATTGATAACATTGGAATAAATCAAAATTAATGCAAAACATATGTTTTCAATAAGCTTTTTATTTATAATTTTTTTTTTAATTTTCAGATTAAAATGCTCTACTCAGTATCTGATAAGCTATCATATGACATATTATTTTCTTCACCTGTATTACAAAGAAGACTAATAATATCCTTATCTATAATATCATCCTTTTTTGAAGAGGGCAATGAACTTTTCGATAACATGGTAATGAAAGGATCTGATGAAACAAATAGTGTATGTGCCAAGTCTTCCATTGAGTTTTTCCGTGAATTTTTTCGAGTGTGATGTAGGCGATATTTTCTAAGGTCTTTATTTCTGGCCTCGAGAGCTTCTTCTGACATCATACCTATTGGAAGCATATTTAATAATATCTGCACCATGTATTAAAATTTTATGGACCGATGAGGGCATATAAAACCAGGGATACAAATCAACAAAAATAGTTGCTGTTTGGTATGCGTACTGCTGAAAGGCGTCCGTATTGATTTCATATCCAGAAGCCATTGTCCGTAAAATAACGCTGAAACGATATATTAATAAACTGCTAACACCTGTTATTTGAGCAGCCAATTTTGATTGTTGGAAAAATCTTCCGGATGTGTTGCCATTATTAGTTGTGCCTGATCCAGGCATTGGGATATCAACCAGTATACCCATTTCTTTTCTCAGATTTGTTTGTATTTCAGTCTTTTTATCAACAGTCGCCATATCACAACTGCGAATCTGCCATTTTTTAAATGGAATTCTGTAAGCGATATGCAGAATACACTCAAAGAAGCGAATCCACGCATGTAAAGTTGATAATCCACATTCGTATAAGTTTTCTTTGCACGGCAAATTTTTCACCATTTGAAGGTTGTTCATATTTTTTGGTGATGCATCACAAATTCCACACTTTTGGGATGATGTTTCTGCCACAACACTAAATACCTTCCCATCTATCATCGTCATATGGAACTGATGATGAACTTCATAATTTTGAAGTTTCGTTGGCTGAATTTTGGCTATTTGAGATTCGACATTGTTCACTTCATCACGGATTAATTCTGCTGTTTCCTTTTGACAAAGTAATTTTAGTGGTCTGCAATAACGAGTTGATGAAGGTTTGGCATTTTTCCAGAGTATGGTTGAACCGAAAACTATTTGTAATGGTACCAAGCACACCGTAAACATATGTTGGTCAATCATACAAGCGTCAACATTATCAAAATTTTGTCGATAAGTTGAGTGGCCACTACTTCCATCACAACCCCATTTGTAAATGGCAGTTATCTTAAGAGCGTTATTACTCTCAGAGTTTGTGAAATCTTGGGAATGCGCAGCAAATATTCTGGCCACTGTGTGATTAACCAAACATTGTAAAGGCACCTCAAAAGAATGATCAGTAACTTGTAGCCCATCAGGGTAGCAAATTTTTTTCGCAGACAGTAAAACATCATAAGTGGGAAATATATTAGCATTTCTCTTTTTAGTTCCATTCTGCAAGTCCATGTAAACCCTTTTTGTATAACCGCCATCAATATATAATGCTAAAGCTTCCTCTGCTGTGTATTTTATGACTTCATTATTATTGGTTAATATGGCAGATTTTAATCTTTTTGGCAAATTTTCATCGGAGTTCAACATTGATACGACTACTGATGCAGTCCTCTTGCCAGCCTTGTATAAACTAGTGCCGGCCGCAGACATGAGCTCATCGCACGGGATTTCTTTGGCGATATCAGACACTTTTTTCTTTTTTGTTTTTTTCCTGGCTGTCCGTGAAGCTTATTTTGGGTCGCCCAGTACTTGGGGTTGGGTCTACCAATAAAATTTCACTATCTAACCAGACCTTGTTATTTCTCTCAAAAATCATCCGAGCCCGGTGGCTTTGTCTCCATTTCATGCTTATTTTTTACCCTATTGGATATTTCAATGCATTGATCCTCATTATATTTGCTTTTATCTATGATGTCGAAAACATAGGATTCCACGGCAGAAAATTTTTTAGAAGCGTCATGTTCCGCATACCATACCAAAAATAGCGCTCGCTTAGATACTGACATTGTAACTAAAAAAATTAGTTTATAAAAAAGTTGCAAAAACGTGCATCTCATTTTAAACATTTCACATAACAACACTATACATTAATTAAAAAAAATAAAATTAGATCGATTGCATTCGAATCACAGAAGTTTACTTCTACAACAGGTGAATTTATGGGAAAACATTATAATTCTTACTAGCACTTTAAACAACAACAAATCTAAAACACGAAACACAAACACTGGACACAAACACATTTTTTTCGTTAATACACACCTTTAACTTTAAATAAAAAAATTAAAAAGAATTTTAGAATCACTTTGAGAAATTTAATGAACAATTGCAGCTGCTTGTTAAAAAAGGCGGAAAGGTTTTTGGCTGCATCTGGTGCAACATATGCTGTGTTTGAAGCTTTACAGCTATGCGAATATTGAGAGCAAAACAAAATGAAAAATGTCAGTGATCTATCTGATGTATTAGTAATCAAATACAAATCTGTTTTTCCGTTAAAATAGATTTTCAAATTTGATTTAATCGGAGCTAGATTGGCCATTTCTACCACTGTGCCGAGGGCCGCCTACGCAAAAAGGTGTTCTCTGCAAAAGGTGTTCTGCTCCTTTTCTTTCGCAACACAGAAAGGAGAATTCTACGTTGTGAGGGTTATAATCCCTAAGCGCGGCCGAAGGCCGCCTACGCAGAAAGGTGTTCTCTGCAAAAGGTGTTCAGCCCCTTTTATTTGGCAACACAGAAAGAAGAATTCTACGTAGTGAGGGTTATAATCCCTAAGCGCGGCCGAAGGCTGCCTACGCAAAAATGTGTTCTCTGCAAAAGGTGTTCTGCCCCTTTTCTTTGGCAACACAGAAAGGAGAATTCTACGTTGTGAGGGTTATAATCTCTAAGCGCGGCCGAAGGCCGACTACGCAGAAAGGTGTTCTCTGCAAAAGGTGTTCAGCCGCTTTTCTTTGGCAGCACAGGTAGGAGAATACGTAGTGAGGGTTATAATCCCTAGGGGCGGCCGAAGGCCGCCTACGCAAAAAGGAGTTGGACGCACAAAAACTTTTTTAATAGAGTGACAGCAGCAATTTACCTCAATTTTATTTTTAATAGTGTGGCAACACTAGTTTTCCTCCATCTTATTTATATTAACTTCACGAGATTGTTGTGCGGATTTTCAACATTGCAATATTCCAATTTAATACAGAATTTCGTAAAAATTTACACTTGAAACATCACAAATGTATAAAAACTAATGAATACGTGTTCAGTTGAGTTCATTTACTCCATTTATCTGCTTCAAATTCATCAAAACATAGTGCGAAAAGTGCAAGTGTTTTTTGCGAATAACTCTTTAATGAATTAAACATGTGAATTTCCGGTCCCGGATTATTGTTGTTCGCATTAAAACGCGTCGATTGATACCCCTCCTGAATTTTTTTCATCAATTTTGGCCTGGTTCCGCTAAAGTGCACTTTTGCCGATTATTGCGAATGCGAAAGCGAATGTTAAAATTAGTGCGGAAGCTCCGCGGTTGCGAATGCGAATGTGAATATTCGATATCGATACTATCGAATGGTTCTATTTTTTTGCACTATCGAATGGTCGTTGGCCACTATCGATAGTCTTTGCTTGAGGAAATATATATATTGTTTATATACAGAGCGTTCCAGAACGTCTTACTGTGTAACGAATACAACCCCTGACTCGAAGTACCGAATCATTACTCACATAATAATGTCGTTACTCGCATGTTTCGTATATGCACCATTAACGTGAATCGTTACAACACAACATACTGTGCGGGAACGAAACTGTTGTTCGCATCGATAATAAAGTGTGTAGGGTGGTCAAAAATGCATGTGAAAAAGTAAAGTCGGAATTGGTATGCTCTCACCCTAGGATTGTTCTATAACTAAAAAAAATATACCCTTTTTTTTGAAATCAAAAAATATTCAGAGGTCGCTCAAAGCGCCCAAAGGTTTCCATGTATTTTATACGGGGAAAAAACAACTTTTCGTAGAAATGGTATAGAATAGTTAAAAATCAATATTTTTCTACCAGAACTCTGCTTATCTGCAGGAGATTCCCA